TTTGACAATTTGTTAATCTCTTTTCTTTTCTTCTTCAAATATTGAAAAAGAGACTTCTACTTATTGCTTGTATCTCCGCCAAGTCTAGCTCCGCCCACCAGTCTTTCCAATCCACTGTAATTCCGTTTGGGAAGGAAAGGGTATCTTAGTCTTTTCATATTAATTTTAATAGACTAGTGGCCACTTTTGCTCAGCATTAAAAATGGTGGATAAAAAGTAAATACCACTTTAAATAGTGGCTACCCCACGCAATTTTTACATAATTTAATAGCTTGGGCTAAGATTTTTGAAGCCTATTTAAAAAAAAGGAGTTTTTACCTCCTGTAGCAAAGGTTGATACCTTATTTATTTTAAAAAAAATACTCTTTTAAAAAATTACATTTCATAGCTACCTTTTGATTTTTATAGCCAAATATCTATTTATGGTCACTTCCTACCCTTAAGCCATAAAATACGCTTTGTATTATTTTTCTCTCTCATTCTTTCAGATTTTTCTCTACCATCTCTCTCTTAACGCCATTTTTTCTCCATGAATACAACCTCAATTTGCTCTTCGTAATCATCATCGTCATCATCGTGTAAAAAATTAGAAGCTAACTTTGAAATCTCTGAAACAGCTTTGTTCGAAAAGAACAAAGAATTTTCCAAGGCAACCCCAATGTTGTGCTACCATTAATAACAGCCCAATTTCACAAATTCTTCCTCTTTATTCCAAGATTGCTCAAACCCAGTTGTTTATCCCTTCAAATACAGTGACCCATCAAAGCATTTGTTCTCTTCCGTGGCAAAAACGAATTGGGGTGTGCATTTTTGCACTCAAGGATGAAGACGGAACTTGCTCCGACGACTGAGTTGGAGATGGCGGAGAGAGAAAAGAAGTGACGCCGCGGAGGTGGTGGGAGAAAGTTTCGAAAATTGCTAAAAAAATCTTCTTTTATTCTAGAGGTTCGAACTCTGCTATCGACGAGACGACATTAAAGTTATTCTTGAACAAAGACGACGGAGTTTGGGGCTGAGCAACTTGAAGAGTCTGATACCTTTTTTTCATTGTATTTCAATGTATCTTGATGTATTCTATGTATATCATTGTATTCATTATCTTTTTTTTTAATTGTATTTAAATGTATCTCGCTGTATTCCATGTATTTCATTGTGTTCACTGTCTCGCTATATAACATGAATGTATTCATATGTTTTTTAATTAATATAATTTATGTATTCAGATTTATAATTGAGTTTGTTGAGTTATATTAGGAGTCTACTATGTTAATTGATTCACTTTCCGTTTAAAAACAGCTGAATAGACCATGAATTGCGCTATTTACGTTACTGTATTCACAAATACATATCGTGAATACAGTCGGATACAATAATCTATCTAGCTATGATCCCCCGTTTCACGCCGTGAATACAGTCGAATACAATAATCTGTCTAGCTGTAATTCCCTGTTTCACGCCGAGAAATGCTATTGTATTCATGAATACAGTAGCTTAAATACATCGAATACACTCTAAAAAACATGAAAACATAGCTATAGGAAGTAATAGAGTAAATGGTAGCTACAACTAATAAATAACCACTAAACAATAGTGGTTTGTGAAAATTTCTCATTTAAAAATGAGGTTTTTAAGTCCGATCCAAGTAAATTCGCTGCCCGTGAGGTTTGACCAAGATTAGGTTAGGTCTGCCCGTGTACTTAATAAACGTATTTAATTATGAATTGCTGATCAAAAATATTTTTCAAATTAATTAATCAAATATAAATTATATTTTATTAAAAGTACTTAAACAAAATACTTTTAAAAAATTATTTTTCCATAAATTAATTTTAGAAGCTTGGCTAAAGAAGCTACGAGTCAAAGTCTCTCAACAAAGAAGTGAAAGCTGTAGGTACACACAGCAGGCCTAAAAGATGAAAGTTGTACAGGATACTTGCTTACATCTACTGCTATCAGAAGCTTTTCTCACATTCTTTATGGAAAAAAAAAACCCATAAAATAAAGCAAACCCATATCTCCGTTGTCTTCTTCCCTTTGCTGCAGCAGTGTCACCTTGGACTTTGCACAAATCCTTTGCAAATACAGAGATTCCTTTCTTTTCTTTCTGTAAAGGCTGGCTGTTTCACGGATAAATAGGTCTGCATCGAAAATTGTACTACTTATATTGACATTGATTTACGGGTTAATTACGCTAATTCCTCTTTAATTTGTCTAAATTATGCAAATACCCCTTATGTATACTCCATTGTTTCAATTCAGTATTTCCTTCAAATCCATTTTAACAAGAATGATGTAGCTTTTTAAAAATAATTTAACTTTGAAGTTTTTATTTCATTACCACATAATTATTATATATGTTTAAGATTATAAGTTTTAAATCTTTCTTTTCTATTAAATTTTGTACATAATTAAATTATATGACATAAATTAAAATGGTGGAAGGATACATCTACTACATACATATAATGCATTTATATATACACAATAATATACAAACATGTAAGTACTCCCTTCCTCCTATTTTAACTGTCATTTTAGCTTAAAAATATTGTCCCAAAATAATTACTAGAGTATTATTTTAGGAATTTAAAACTAAATTTATTACTTATTTTTAACTGCTCCCTTAATATTAATAAGAATGCATAGCGTTTAAGAGGAAAAAATTCAATCTACTTTCATTAAATAAGAATAACTTAATATACAATATATTATATTAATTATTTTTTTTAATAAATAAAAAAAGCCCTAAAACAACAGTTAGTAGCTCCTAGGGGTTCCTTGTCTTGTTTAATTACTACTCCATATAAGTCAGTCAGGTTTCCACATGCTCCTCGGGACTACCATCTCTCCTACTTCAATGCCATAATATTTTTTCTTTATTTCCATTCCTTCATTTATACTCCCCATCCCATTTGCCTTCTTCTTCTCCCTTTTCTCTCCATCTTATTAATCTTTCCTTTTCATTAACTCTGTAAGTTAAGCTCTAGTTAGTGACTCTCAAGAAGAAGAGAAGCTAAGTAATTAATTATATAGTGGTGAAAAATATGGTGATGGAAGGGATTCAAGAAGATATAGGTGAAGGTATTTTCCAATGTACAAATCATCCTTACAAAAATAATACAACCCCAGGTGGGATTTGTCCTTTTTGCCTTCAAGAAAAACTTGGAAACCTTGTTTCTTCCTCTACTGTTTTTCCTTCTAATTCTTCTTCCTCTTCAACTTCTTCTTTTAAATCTGATTTTGGTAACAGTTCCACTACTTCTTCAACTCTTTCACTCCAAACCAACATAAAAAATACCACTAACTTTACAAAATCAAGAAAGTCTGAAGGTGAAGATTATGTCCATCAGAAAAAAGGGTTATGGTCATTTCTTTACAACTCATCTTCTAAACATTTTTCCACAGCTAAGAAATCTGAAAAACCTACAAAAGACATTAACTTTTCTTCATCTTCAGCTTTGAGTGGTGGTTCTATAGAGGTAGATGAGAATGAGATCAGTCCTATTCAGGTTTATTCAAGATCCAGATCTATTGGCTGTGGAAGCAGAAACGTTGCAGGTGATTGTATTTTGCGCAGAGTTGAGTCTCAAAGAGAAGGTAAACATAGAGTTTCCTCAAGAAAAGAATGTATTAAAGAAAGAGTAAGATGTAGAGGGATTTTTAGTGGTTTTATGATTACTAATTCCTCTTCATCTTATTGGGGATGGGTATTAGCAAGTCCAATGAGAGCTTTTACTAAACCATTATCAAGTAAGAAAAGAGAAGCCTCAAACAAGAATGCTACTCCAAATTTGTCTGCCATTCCTTCTTTATTGACAAATTAGAGGCTAGGAAGGGTTTTCTAGTTTACAAAGTAAATGACATTATACAAATTTACATTTTTCTTGTTTAGACTATGTTCATTTATGCGGTTTTGTTCATCTTTGTTTTATGTAATCGTCACTGTTTAGGATGACGATCGAAAGGAGCCTTGGAGCAACGGTAAAGTTATTTAGGTCCTCAGGTTCGTGTCGCCTTAGCAACCACTAATGTTTAAGTCACAATTTTTGGGGTGCGACCTTTCTCCGATACCTATATGTTTCATACATAGGACTGCTTTTTTACTGTTTAGGATCACTGCTTTTTTCCACTTGGCTCGAGGTTATAGTGTGTCACAGACTCACAGTTTTGGCTGGTAAAATATCTTTTGTTGGAATCTTATTTGTGATCAAACACATAGTTTCATTACTTATCTAACTCGCTCTTTGATACATTTAAATGTACTATTCTTTATTCTCTGCTAGCTTTGAATATTTCACATAATATCTCGTCCAACATTTGAAATGCGCATAATATTTACATCATCTTTCTATTGCACTGTTTACAAGGCCAATCGAGCCTAGTGGTTTTTAATCAAACAATATTAAGAATTTATTAAATATGAATAAATCTAAATTTATAACTTACATTGTCATTCTAAATTTAGAATCCATAATCTAAATTTATAACTTTTTGACATAAGCGATTGCAGTGAGGACCCCAAGTCATAATAACACTTAAGTCTGTTTCGGCTATGGTAGTAAATAGTAATGAGTGAAATCTGATGAACTTTACTATTAAAGGACATAATACTATTTTAGCACCCACCAGAAATATATACAAAGACAATCAATCACTTGGTTAGGTATTTAGGTCCCTAATTAAGTTCTAGGGGTTAGTAGGGTAGGGAAACTTCTTAAAAAGCATTAAAGAAAGATCTTTCTACCTTTTTCCCTTAGTAGTAGTGCAAGTGTTACGAGCTCTTTAAATCCTAGCCCCAATAACTATACCTGTGAGTGTTTCTTGATTTGTTTAGCATGATCCACTCTATACCCTAAGGTTTTGACTTGTAAAATCACGCACATTTGTTGGGATTTTGACTACGAGCATTAGTTTTAGGTTTTTGCAACTTCAGTAGAAAGCACAAGTAGTATTCAAGTAGCCAAGACTCCTAATTAGACGACGGTTTTGCACCTAAAATGTGAATCCCAAAATCGCAGCTAAAGAGAGCTGACTGAAGCCATACAAAATTGAGTAGATAATATTACATCAATGGTTGGTTCGGAATCTGCCACAAGATGAATGGAACTCATTCTAGCAAACACCTAAACTAATGAAATACAAGGTGCAACCACTTGGACAAAGAAACAAGTGGAAAATTAATGTAAGACTATAAAATATCTGGAATTCCAAATAATCTTTTCTACCCTACCTGGAAAAAATAGTTCCCCCTCAACTGTTTGCCTTCCCACATTTAAATCCAAATTTTTGTGTTGTTTTGATAGTTTTTCCTCAGATGGGGCAGGGTGGAATATCAATAGTAATACCAGCTTGGATTTGGCCCCAACCAATAAGTCGCCAGTGCTTCTCAATTCTCCGGCTAAGAGCAATTTTCTCACCTTTACTGGTACACACAGGTGATGTCAATTGCAATTTCGCGAATACATTCTTGACAGCGACAACACGAGCCCCTGTTGACATAGACCCTATATTTAACATGAGGATTTCTCCCTTTGCCAACTTTGAGACTTTACCTTGCCTCTCCGAGTCCTTTGTCCTCACACCCAAAAGACGTCGGAGCAAAAAAAAATTCACCTGCATTTCAAAGGTATAGAAATAAAGAAAGGATATAAGAGCACTCTAGAAGAACTCAGTGGGAAGGAGGATAAAGAGTGAGCCTATTAATTTGATTACACAGCCCATCAAAAACAGTAGACTCATAGAAAAGTAGTTCCTTCACAACAGACTTAACTATTTCAAAGCTTAAAAGAGAAAAGGGTTATTTAAGAAGAGACATAAAGTTTTGTTTTAGCTGTTTAAAAAGTTTGTGAAATGTTTCAAGGAAATCATTTACCTCTAGTTCGACGAAAACTTCAGGGAGTGATCCAACCTCCCCAAGAACCTGTCCCACCAATCGATCAGCACGTGTCAATGTTGGATCCATAGTTGTTCCAACTCCAATGAGTCCTCCAGGCACGGCAAATTGTAGTTCATTTTGCTCGGCGAACAATGATACCATTCTTGAATATATTGGAGTACATTTGATGTTTCCACTCTCATCTTTGACAACAATTCCAGGGCGAACCTCAATAAGTTGATTTACCTTCAATACACCCTGTGCGAAGAATCTAATTAATCTTTATGAAGGTGCAAGTCAATTAATTGAAAATGTGGCATCCATGTCGTTTTTGTATAAATTCAATAATATGTGGGTAATTCATTAAGGCATCTAAAATTTTAGGACCCTAAGGTACTATTTCTTCCTTTGCTGAGTTAGTTAAATATCATTAACCTTCATCATTTTCAGGGCATGGATTTTTTTCTTTAATTTTTATTCTATGATTCAAATACATTATTTAATAAAATTTATGTGATTAAAGAAAATACCCACTGTCAAAGACTAGTATCATTATTTGCAGGAAAAGAGAAAGATACCTTCAAAATACTGCCACCAGCAACACCACCTCTGATATCATCAACTTCAAAACCAGGTTTATTGACATCAAATGACCGGATAACAATCATATTTGGTGGTGAAATGAAATTCCTTTCGGGAATGGGAATTTTTTTCACAATATATTCAGCAACGACATCAATGTTGTACTTCAATTGTGCAGATATTGGTACAACTGGGGCACCATCTGCAACAGTTCCCTGAATAAGGTTTTGAAATATGGTATGATAAGACTATCCTCACAAATGAAGCACGGAATGTGAGTGGTGAAAGAAAAGCAGTATTCCACTAACTTGAATAAATTTCTGAATTGCCTCGTGCTGGTTGATGGCAACATTTTCCTGGACTAGATCAACCTTATTTTGAAGAATTATGATATGTTGGAGGCGCATAATTTCAACAGCTGCTAAATGTTCAGAAGTTTGAGGTTGGGGACAGCTCTCATTGGCAGCAATCAGAAGTAAGGCTCCATCCATAATTGCAGCTCCATTAAGCATTGTAGCCATGAGAATATCATGACCCTGCATAAAACGATGTTATATGCAGCATTGGTATAATAGAAAGTTACAGGGCACAGATGGAAATTAAAAATCACCAAGGATGCAAAGTATAGCATGAATTAGTTTTTCAGTATTATGACTGCAATTTATTAAACAAAATAATCTCACCCAGTAAGGAGAAGTATCTACTGACAGAGTAACATAAACGTATGTTAAAGACAACATAACTAAGGAGAAAAATCTCTTAAAATTATGTATTCCAAAGTGCATGCCGCAAGTTCAGATATCCAATATCCAAAACCATTAAAAAAGGTGCAGTAATTTTCAGCAAAAGGGACAATTACATAGTAGTTTATTATAATAAACTGTTCAAAGGTCAAAGCTGAGGGTCGCCAGTGATTGTTTAGATAACGATACTAAAGCTGAATATTTCTTTCTAAAAAAAAGTAGGCCTACACTTCTGAAACAAAAAAGATAAAATAGAAACACGCATAGAACACTGGGAAAAGAAACACTTATCTTCCAAGACTTCCTTTAATGTTAAATGAAATAGGGACTGCAAGTTAAATGAAAACACTACAGCTTAATATAATGTTGAGCATACAGTACAAAGAAAGCAGAAATAATTTATTGCAACCTTTTCTTTAACACTTTTCTATCGCTTCAATACCAAAGTTACAATCCTTAATATTTCTCTGGTATGGTCATATCTAAGCACAGTCAAACTAAAGGATAATCATCTCGTACAGAAACAGAATGCAAAAGCAAAATGGCAGTAATACATACTGTAGAGAGTGGCATTCGAGGAACTTACTGGGCAATCAACAAAAGATACATGCCTTAGTAATTTCATCCTGCAGTTCTCAAAACCAGGGACATCACACATGGGACTGTCTTCTTTTCCACTACCATATGCCCTGGAAATGATTGTTGTTACAGCACAGGCTACCAAATGAAGCACAACAATGTTTCTGTTTCAAATCAAGGACTCACTTGTAGCACATGGGTCTAGGACAGCGCTCTTCTTCACATTTGTATATCTTAGCATTTGCATATCCAAGCTTAATTGTAATATTACGTTCTAGCTCGTTTTTAAAACGAACAGTCTGCACAATAAGTGGGTATAATTATTTGCAGTCTGAGTACTTGCAGCGAACACAGTACGAATAAAATAAGTAAGAGTAAACAAAGATCAGATCAAAACAAGGACTTACTAATCAACATCTAAGAAGTATCAATTGATATAGCCCACAACAGATTAAAAAACATTAATTGCCGTAAAAGCTGATTAATCCAGCATAAGTTTCCCAAACAACTAATAGCGTCTCCATATCTTGTTGGCTAATATAATAGTAATAACTTTGTTCATTATCACCAAACTAAATAGGAGCGCGTGTCATTACTTTATCTTTTTTCCAAGACAAAAGGAAAAAGACAGAACTCAAAAATGCTTTCTAGCAAATGAACTATACACAGAAAAAAGAATAATAGCAACTAAGCCTTCGATATCAATAATTCACACTAAGAATAGTTGTTAAATAAAAAGGTAAATAAGAACCTGTACTTACTGTTTACTAGAATCAAAATATCACTCGTTAGTAACTAAACAACAGGACTGACACGTCAGACCAGAGTTTTATGATCTAGCGGGATAAAATATCAAGACTCAAAAATTTAACTCCATTGATAAAGGTACAGATTTCTTTTTCTCAGAAATGGATAATATTGATAAAGGTATTAAACACGACATACCTGCACACCAGATATAGCTTTTACAACTGTTGACTTCCCATGAGCCACATGGCCAATAGTACCTAGATGATGAAATTACATTTCAGTAGTTCAGTGTGACTAATGTAAAGTGTAAAAGCGCTTGTCTGGAGAGAGAAGGAAAAGAAAGAAAAAAAAGGTATAGAGTTATAAGTAACTAGTTTACCAATGTTTATTGTAGCCTGACGAGAAATAACTTCAGGCGAAAGTGGATGTAACTTTGTCACATCCAATTTGCTTAGGTCCTGCTCCATCAATCCTTTCCGAGACATTTTTGGCTGCTGTTGAATACTTCAGTAGCAAGTTTCAACTCTGAGATTAGGAACAAAGACAAAAAGCCCATGCCCAGAACCATAAATGACTTATGATAGAAAGTCGAGCAACACATCAAAAAACCCAATGCATAGGCTTACAGACAACACAGCTTAATCACCAAGATTGTTACCATAAGCAACGAACAAATTCAGTAAACCTCATTAACTTTCTTTTACTGTCCTTACCCTCCCAAAGAAATGGAACATTGCTGATCAAAGACCAATCTCCACCTGGACCCACCACCGACGACAGAGGGATTCATCAAATACATTCTAACATCCTAGCGTCTCGAATTGACAATCATTCTTTTTTTCACAAAAAGAAAAAAAAAACAACTCTGCCTCAGTCCAAAACAAGTTAGGGTCGTCTATGAATCCTCACTGACCGATTTACTACATTTAAAGCATCTATGACATTATTGTGCAAATAGAAATAAATAAATAAAATGCACCACCAATTCACATTATTAGGTTTAGTATTTTTTCAAAAGCAGTAGTATCCCCGTCAGCTTGCATGAAACTCGACTACTCTACTTGAGTAGTTGTTATATCCGACCAGCACAGATAAAGGGTAACTCTATCCACCAAAACTTATGTCATAAAGCCAATAAAGTTTTAGAATTCGGGTTTCGACAAATATGCTCAATCTTATAGGTTATATACAGCAATGGCAAACACAACCATCTTGCAATTGCAATTGGTAAGTCTTCACAAAAATATTTCCTAAAAAAAGGCACCTTTAACAACTGTGAACATCAATATATACTTATTTTATGGAAATGCAATACTATTAACATTTGAGTTTAAGTTCTATGCACGGTGTAAATAGTATTTACGCCATCAAGTCACTTAAAAAGCTACTAACCTACTATAACAGGTTAAATTACACAAATAGTATTACTTGCATCAATATAATGATTCTCAAATGCAAGTAACTTACTATAACAAGTTAAATTATGCTAATAGTGTAAAATTCTTTTGATAATGTCATTGCATATAACTTAAATCCTTTTTTATGAAAATCAATACTATTAATATATTACACAGGATTTGAGGCTTTATTTACATGGAAGCAAACACATCATTTTAATCCAATTCACTAAAAATTTGCATTTTACCACTAATAATCATTCCAAAAAAAAAGGGTTAAAGAGTTTGGTCTAAGTAAAGATACAAACATACAATTTCAGCCGTCGAAGAAGGAGAACGCTTGAGTTGGCAGCTGAGAGAGAGGGTTCGGCAAGAATTAACGCAGAAAGCTGTTAGAATTTGGGCTCCATTTGTTTGGTTTTAGTCTACAGCCCACTTGGACGAATATGGGCTTCGAGTCAAGTGGGCCTCAACTATTAGAATTTTGGGCTTTAAGACCCCCATTTTTAAGCCCGCTATAGTGGGGATTGGGCTGGTTTCCGGCATCAACTCACGGGCCAATTTGTGGATTAAGTGGGTTAACCCGATCCACTTGCTAGGTTAGAGACTGCTGTATCTACATGTAACACAATAAATTAGACATAATTTAAGGCTTTCTGATTTAGCTAGGATTTAAAGTTTATGGGTTCTGAATTACCATGTTTTTCATAGTTCGTCTTAGTTATTGGATTCGCAATTAAATATTTATACATATTTAATAGATTCAATATTAATACCCCGCAAGTAACACTCCACTGCCGCCCCTGTATACAATACGTATTTTTATGAATCAGCCCCAACCAAATATTAAGCTGAAAAGAGCTATTGGGCCGAGATGAAGCCAGAGGACAAGGCCTTTAAAAAGGTTAATTTAGGATCCAGGCCAATAGAGGCAATAAGGAATCAATTAAAAGGGACTAGCGGTTAGCAAGGAGGTTATGTTGGAAGAAAGCTCAGAACAGCTATGGAAGATGAATGAGGAAGAAGAACCTAGAAGGGTCGAGAAGAAGAGAGAGAAATGAAGTGAAACATAAGAGAGAAATAACCATCTGAATTTTATTATTCAATAATAGGTATTTATATTTACAACTATAAATGTGTAATAGAGAAACATAAAATGTGTATTGAGCCCGGGTCCTATACAAATATCTATTGGGCCTGTAGTGTAGATGAGCTATCAGATTGGGCTCTAACACCCCCCCTCCTTCAAGCTTGAGGGTGAAGAAACACCAAGCTTGCCAAGAATACCATAACGGAGCTGAGTAGGTAAAGCCTTGGTCATGATTAGCACTGGAAACAAAATATAAAGAAAGAAGACCAGCATGTAAACATTCACGCACATAATGGCAATCAATTTCGATATGCTTTGTTCGCTCGTGGAAAACTGGATTTTTGCCAATGTGTAGAGCAGCCTGACTATCACAATACACGAGAACATGAGCAATAATAGGCAGGCCAAGGTCACCCAGCAATCTGATCAACCAAGCTATTTCAGCAGCAGCTTTCCTTAGAGCTCTATACTCAGCCTCTGCTGAAGACAAAGAAATAGTAGGTTGTTTCTTGCTTTTTAAAGATACAGGACTGCCACCAAGAGTTATATAATAACCACTGACAGACTTGCGAGTAATAGTGCAAGAACCCAATAAGAATCAGAAAACCCCATAAGAGACATATCAGTAGAGTTGGAGAGTAAAATACCTTGGGCAGGATCATTCATGAGATACCTCAAAACATGAAGTGCAGCCAACATGTGTGGAACCTGAGGATGCTGAAGGAATTGGTTGAGATGTTGAACAGAGAAAGAGATGTCAAGTCTGGTATGTTAAAAAAATTCAACTTCCCAATCAGCCTCCTATACAAACTAGGATCAGAAACAGATGCTCCCATATCCAAATAAAGTTTGATAGAAGGATCCATAGGTGTGGACACAGGAGAAAAATGTTGGCAGTTGAACTCAGCTAGGAGGTCAGTGGTATACTTGGACTGAGTCATAAGATAACCCTGAGGAGTAGAGGAAATCTCCAAACCAAGGAAATAATGAACTGTGCCCAAGTCCTTGATTTTAAACTGGGAGTCCAGAAATAACTTCAAAGAATCCAACTCAGCAACATCATCCCCAGCTAGCAGAAAGTCATCAACATAAACAGCCAGGACAATAAGAGAAATGAATAGGGAATAGTCCTTGAGACTAGAAATGTAGCCCCTATAGTGCAGAGCTTCAGACAGTTTAGAAAACCACTGTCTGGAAGCCTGCCTGAGGCCATACAAAGATATCCTAAACATGTCATTTTCATAAAAAAATGACCTAAAAACCTCATCAGGATCAAAATCATCATCAAAATTATAGGCATGCACAATTCTTCTCCTTATGTCTCTAACATTATGCTGCTGACTAAACAAGATTTCGTCAACATAACTTGTTTGTTCACATTGTCTCCTGGAATTAGGGACGGAGCTAGAGTATCGGGAACAGGTTCGATCGAATCCAGTAGCTTTAGTTCAAACATTGTATTTATCTTAAAAAATTCGTTGAATATGTATAAATTATTAACTTAGAACCTAGTTACTTTAAAGGATTAGAATCCCGAACCCATAAGCTTGAAATTCTGGCTCCGCCTCTGCCTGGAATCATCATCCCTCAAATACTTAAATGCCTTCGTGACTTTCTTAAACGCCTTTTCAGAACCCGGAGTCTTATTTTTATTAGGACGAACTTTCAATGACAGTTTTATGTACGCTTTCCTAATTTCCTCAACTGAACAACCATTCTCTAGACCAAGAATTTCATAATAATCTTTCTTACTCTTAATTTTTCTAATTAACTCCACATATTCCTCTCTATAATTCTTCTCCCCTGCCTCATTTTTCACCCTGTCAACATCATTTCTAACCTCACTGGACGGACCAGGAATCGACGAATTAATATTTTCACAAGCAGCCATAAGATCATCAACTGTTAGATTATTATTAAGGCGACGAGCTATTATGTTACAAATCAACCCAGTTATGGTGGGATTTCCATGGAAGAAAAAACCCTACCATCGTATGAGAGAAGAGAGGGGACTGGAAGTTAGAGAGACAAATATCAGGAGAAAATAAAATGAAATGATTGTCCCACTTTATTATTATTCACCACTTCTTTGTTTATATATTTACACTTGAGATGACTATCTATGTAATGATACAATGACTATCTAAATAAAGTAACTTAGCTAAAGTATGAAATATAAAATGAGTTACAAGTTGGGCTTAACTACTTAGGCCTTTAACCGACTGATGGGCTGTTGCTCAATATGGTTAACACCCCCCTCAAGCTTGAGGGTGATGCAACACCAAGCTTGCCAAGAATCAAATGGCGGAGATATCCAGGAAGGGCCTTGGTCATGATATCTGCTAGTTGAGCAGAACTTGGGACAAAATGAAGAGAGATTAAACCAGCTTGAAGGTTGTCCCGGACATAATGACAATCTATTTCAATGTGCTTAGTACGTTCATGGAACACAGGGTTTTGACAATATGCAAGGCTGCCCGACTGTCGCAAAAAATAGGGATAGGGAACCAAGATCACCCAAAATTCTGACCAACCAAGAGATCTCAACAACAACTTTCCTTAAGGCTCGATATTCTGCCTCGGCATAAGACAAAGAAATAGTTGGCTGCTTTTTGCTTTTCCAGGAAATAGGACAACAAACAAGGGTAATGTAGTACCCAGAAACATATCTCCTAGACCGAGAACAAGATGCCTAGTTAGAATTAGAGAAAACTTTGAGATCCAAATCAGAAGAACAAGGCAGAAGTATGCCGAGATCTAAGCATTGGACAAATACCTCAAAACATGGAGTGCAACCATCATGTAAGGAATCTGATGAGCCTGCAAGAACTAACTAAGGTGTTGGACTAAAAAAGCAATATCTGGCCTAGTGTACTGAAGAAAATTCAGCTTCCCAATAATTCTCCTATAACCTCCAGGGTTAGAAAGAGCATCTCCCATGTCAGCAGTGAGCTCAAGAGAAGAACCCAGGGGTGTAGTAATAGAACTGAAGTTATGGCAGTTAAATTCAGAGAGCAAATCAGTGGTGAACTTAATCTGGCTGGCAAGAAAGCCCTGGGAGTGTGAGAAACCTCCAAACCCAAAAAATAGTGAATGGTGCGCAAATCCTTGATCTTGAATTGATCATCCAAGAAAGCCTTCACATTGTCCAGCTCAGAAATATCATCCCCAACTAGGAGGATGTCATCAACAAAAACAACAAATACAGTGAGTAAGTACCCAACAGATTTGGTGAAGAGAGAGTAGTCATTCTTGCTAGAAATGTAGCCTTTGGTAGACAAGGCTTCAGACAGTTTGGAAAACCACTGTCTTGAGGCTTGCTTAAGGATATATAAGGACTTTTTGAGCTTGCAAACCAAATGAGGAGTGGAAGAAGAACAGAGTAGAGAAACCTGCAGACCTAGGGGGATCTTCATATGCACTTCTTCATGGGGATCCCTATGAAGAAATACATTGTTGACATCCAATTGATATACAGTCCATTGTTTTTTAGCAGCAAGGGAAAGAAGACATTTAATGGTTTTATATTTGACAACAGGAGAAAAAGTTTCTGTATAGTCTATACCCTCCTTTTGTGTGTCACCTCGAATGATCAACCTAGCCTTGTATCTCTCAGTTGTTCTATCAGATTTCTATTTTATCTTATACACCCATTTACAAGGAATGAGTTTCTTGTTAGGGGGCAGTAGAACAATGTCCCAAGTATGACTAGCTTCAAGAGCCTGAAATTCCTTAACCATGGCCTCTTGACAAGCAGGAGAGAAAGTAGCCTGATGATAATACTGAGGCTAATGTGAGTATAGAACAATAGTGGAAAGTTGTGGAATATTCGAAGTAGGGGCAGAAGAAATAACAGAAGAGCAAACATAGTCCTTAAGGTATGTAGGAGGGTGACAAGT